CCCCTTCCCGGCACCCCCCCCAGCATCTGGCAGCACGGCACCAGCCTCATGAACTACCTGCGCATGGTGAGCCCTGAACCTCCTGGGGGGCCCAAACCTCACAAAGGTCCTCAAAACCTCCTGGGGACCCCAAAACCTTGCTGGAGCTTCCCAAAATCTCCTGGTGGGCCCCTAAATCTTTCTGAACCTCCCGGGGGCCTCAAAGCCTCCCAGGGGGCCCCCAAACCTCCTGGAGCCCCCAGAACCTTACTGAAGGTCCCTAAAACATCCTGGTGAGCCCCAAAAGCTCTCTGGAGCTTTCAGAGGTCCCCCAAACCTCCCTGGGGGGGTCCCAAAACCACCTTAGAGCTCACAGAGGTCCCCAAAACCTCTGTGGGGGCCCCAAGTCCTCCTGGTGGGGCTGGGGCCTCAATGCTCCTCGGGGTCCTGAACCTGTCCCCCCCACCATGTTCGTGTCCCCAACCAGGTCCCCCCCCCCCCCACCATGTTCCCCCGGCAGGTAGAGTATGATGGACTGACAGGGCGTGTGGAGTTCAACAGCAAGGGCCAGCGCACGAACTACACCCTGCACGTGCTGGAGAAGGGGCGCCATGGGCACCGCGAGGTGAGCGCCCCACGGGTGCGCCCCACGTGGTGCGCCGGGCCTGGTCTTGCACCCCACGCTGCGCCCCACCCTCTGCGCTGCACCCCGCATTGCACCCTGTGCCGTGCCCCACACTGAGCTCCGTGCGCTGCCCCCCTTATTGCACCCCACACCACACTCCATGCACTGCACTGTGCCCCATGCCGTGCCCCACACTGCATTGCCCCACTCTGCACCCTACATCGCACCCCCCCATACTGCACCCCACACTACGCCCCATGCTACATTGCCCAGCACCCCGCATTGCACCCCACATGCTACACCCCACTCTGGATCATCCTGCACCCCACATTGCACCCCATGCACTGCACCCCACTCTGCACCCCGCATTGCACCCCCCACACACACTGCACCCCACGCTGTGCTGCCCTGCATCGCCCTGCACAGCACCCCACACTCCCGCTGCCCCCTGGGGCCCCCTCAGTCCCCCCGCAGCCCCCCCAACCCCCCGCGTGCCTCCCCAGGCGGGCGTGTGGG